AGCTCTCCACCCGCACCATACACGGCGTTGGCAAAGAACTGCTTCCCCCTCCTTAGGCACGGGACGGTTTACCAAAATCTCTTCGAGGCCGACCGATAGTCATGCTCCATGGACTCTCCGAACTCCTCCCAGTCCCGGGTTTTTACCTCTGAAACAGCCCGGGCTGCGGCACGCTTGGCCTGCCGGTACTGGACAGCTGCCTCAGGAGTCCCACGAACCACCATGGCTCGATAGGATTCCTTCTTCAGCCTGACAGCATCCCTTACTGCCGGTGTCCACCACCGGGTTCGGGGGTTGCCGGCGGGACCAGCACCAGAGACCTTGCGACCACAGCTGCGAGCCGCCGCATCGGCGATAGAGGATGAGACATGGTCCACTCGGACTCGATGTCCCCCTCCTCCGCCAGGACCTGGGAGAAGCTCTCCCGGAAGTGTGAGTTGAAAGTCCATCTGACAGGGGGTTCAGAGAGACGTTCCCAGCAGACCCTCACTACACGCTTGGGTCTGCCAGGTCTGACCGGCTTCCTCCCCTGCCAGCGGATCCAACTAACGACCAGGTGGTGATCGGTTGACAGCTCCGCCCCTCTCTTCACCCGAGTGTCCGAGACACGCGGTCGAAGGTCAGATGATACGACAACAAAGTCGATCATCGACCTCCGGCCTAGGGGGTCCTGGTGCCACGTGCACTGGTGGACACCCTTGTGCTGGAACATGGTGTTCGTGATGGACAAACTGTGACTGGCACAGAAGTCCAACAACTGAACACCACTCGGGTTCAGATCAGGGCCGTTCTTCCCGATCACCCCTCTCCAAGTGTCACTGGCATTTCCCACATGGGTCCCCGGTCGGTGCACCGTCCAGTACACCTCCCAAGGACTCCAAGAAGGCCGAGTACTCTGCACTGTTGTTAGGCCCGTAGGCCGTCACAACAGTGAGAGACTTGTCCCCCCACCCGAAGGCGGAGGGACGCTCTCATTCACCGGGGAGGACTCCAACACGTGGCGGCTGAGATGGGGGGCAATGAGTATGGCCACCCCAGCTCGCCGCCTCTCCCCGCAAGAAACACCAGAAAAGTGGAGCGTCCAACCCCTATCAAGGAGTTGGGTTCCAGAGCCCAAGCTGTGTGTGGAGGTGAGGCAGACTATCTCTAGTCGGTATCGCTCAACCTCCCCCACAAGCTCGGGCTCCTTCCCCCCCAGTGAGGTGACGTTCCACGTCCCTAGAGCCAGATGCTGTGTGTGCGGACTGGGTCGCAGAGGTCTCCGCCTTTGACCGCTGCACAGTCCTCTCAGCACCTGACCACCACGGACCCCTCTGCAGGTGGTGGGCCCACAGGAGCCCGGCCAGGCCCGTGGGCTAAGGCCCGGCCACCAGGCGCTCGCTTTTGAACTCCAATCCCAGGCATGGTTCCAGGGTGGGGCCCCGGCTGCATCATGCAAGGAGACGTCACTGCTTTCATTTTAGTGCCGTCCATGGTTGGCTTCGGACTGCGCTTCGTCTGACTTGTCACCCCAGACCTGTCTGCCATGGGAAACCCTACCAGGGGCATGAAGCCCCAGACAACATAGCTCCCAGGATCACTCAAACTCCCACCACTCACCATTCCTGTTTGAATGGAAAGATAAATGACAACATAGTGTACATATGTATAGTATTTGTTTATTATAACATCCATCCATCCATTTTCTACCCTTTAATCCATTTCTGGGTCAGGGGGGTGGCAATCAGAGATGCCACCCAAGTCTCATAGCACCAGCCCCTCACTGACCCTCTGCAGGTGGTGAGTCCACAGGAGGTATTATAACAATAAATCCACATAAAATGGCATTAACATTATTAACATTCTGTCTTTCTGTAGTAGAAACTAATTTTCAGCACGACATCTTCCGCATCTGCTAAAGCCTCCTCTTTCTTCTTCTTCTCTGTCTCATAAAGGCTGTGGATCTTCTTCATTATTGTGCCTCTACAAACTATTGTTGGTTACAGGGATGAGGGACATTTGAAAAAACTCTGAAATGCATGTAAGTCGATGGCTGTCATTAACTCTGTTTGATTTGCTCACAACATTTACTTTTGGGCACAACCAACATGGAATGGTAGTGCAAAGGAAAAGTAAGGTACCCCAGCTTTAACTTAGCGAGTTTCGTTGCGCTTCGGGAGAAGACAAGGGGGAGACGGACTGTTTCTTGCAGCGCTGTATTTATTGTGTGCATTGGTTAAGCACAGACACTCACACAACAAGAAGAGTATGGTCCTGTGCACATGCGTTAAAAGCGTTAATTTTTTAAACGCGATTAATGAAACCAATTAATTAACGTGCGTTAACACAATAATTTTGACAGGCCTAGCTTGAACTTCTGCTTGAACGGGTCGAGCCCTGACCAACCACTCGGCCCAAAGAAATGACTGCCGCCTTGGCGAACACACATTTAGCTAAGTTAACCATCAAGTTAGCCTGAGATAAGACTGCCTTTAGCCGACTAAGATGGTCAGCCCAGCCTTCTGAATAGACCACTAAATCCTCCAAATAAACAGCACACACATCCAGACCCCGCACCACAATAGTCATCAAACTCTGAAATGTGGCTGCCGCATTTTTCAACCCAAAAGTTATGACATGACAGAGGCAGAAGTTGTGACACAATTGACCTGGAAGTTTACTGCATTTTTTCAGAAAAAGAACAGAGTCACAGAGCATTATAACATTACAATGTGTGTTATGGGACTGTTGAGAGCAATACAGGAGCACCACAGGGTACTGTTCTGGCTCCCTTCCTCTTCACCATTTACACTGCAGACTGTGCACACAACTACATGCCATGTACAAAAAGACTCTGACGATATCGCTGTTATGGCATGTGCGAAGGGGGGGGGGGGGGTGAAGCAGAGTACAGGAAGGAGGTGGCTGCCTTCTCAGACTGGAGTGAGAGAAATTGACTGATTCTAAATGCGTCCAAGACCAAGGAGATGATCATCAACTTTCACAAGAGCCCTTCCCATCGACCGGTCACAGTAAATGGACAGGACACCAAAGTGGTTCACTCCTATAAATATCCGGGAGTCCAGACTGGACTGGTCAGCTCAGGCCAATGCCATCTACAAGAAAGGTCAGAGCAGACTTTTCTTTCTGAGTAGACAGAGGTCCTTTGATGTGAGCAGTCAAAGGTTGTACATTTTTTACCAGTCTGTGGTAGCTAGTGCCGTGTCCTTAGGGGTTGCGTGTTTGGGCGGCAGTCTGACCTCAGAGACAGTAACTGTGCTGGAGAGAAGGGGCTCTAATGCAGGGCATCCTGGGTAACTCCAGACACCCTCTGCATGACACTATGGCCGCTCAGAGGAGTTACCGAAGCAAAAGGCTCCTATCACTACGCTGCCGAACAACACGTTTCAAGAGATGCTTTGTTTTATCAGCTGTCAGACTGTACAACAAACCTGAATGAGTCTTCTGCTGCTGGACACCTGGATTTCTCCTACAGAGGATCAATAAAGTATCTATCTATCTATTTAAAGAAGCAGAGAAATGAAAGTGAAGAAGAAGAATCAGATGTGACTGGTACATGACGAGTGAACCTGTCCCTGACTCTGATCAGAGACAGTGAACTTAAAGATCCTGAAGCTTCTGTGTTTGTCCACTTCTGTCCAAGGTCAATGTATTTATTCAGCTTATATTCATAACAGTCTTTAGATGCCCTTATATGGACATAGCAGGTTGTCATGGTAATTCCAGAGGTTACCATCTGGAAGGTTCCCATTCCAGAACAAGGTAATCTTGGAATTCCATGGTAACAATGCAATGACATCAACAGTTCCATAAGTTCACCACAGTCTGTGAGTCAAGTCAGTCAGTCAGTCAGACTACAGCGAACAGACACACAAGGTCTTCTTACCAAACGCAAAGGTCAGAGTATCTTCTTGTCAGTTTAACATGGACTGGAAGGAGCTCCAGAACCGTGTTCTCTCCCAACAAAGGGACTTAATGAGCGCTTATCGCGACTCCCAGGTAACTGCATCTTTCACACTTGGTTGTTTGGCTCCGAGACGTCAAATACATTCATATCTGTTTTATGTTTTATATAGTGTTTGTTAAATGATTAGTGATTGCATTATTGTGATGGTAGTTTATGATCCGGTAAAGTGCTAACATTGGTCAAACCAGACTCGTGGTTAGGGACATGGTACGTCTCAGAACAGCTGAGGGTAATGGTAAAGAAGAGATGGAATAAGTCAGATTAACCACAGAGGAAGTGTGGAGCTCTGAAGTTGAGCAGTCGTCTCCAGGTTTTGTGGGTAGAAAAAACACTTTACTGGTGTCTGCTGCAGAATCCTTCACATTTTCACATAAATCACAGGTTTGTTGTTCAGTAGTAAGTGCTCGGTGTTCAGAGGGGGCAGAGAGCAGAGCTGATCACCACAGAAATATATTCTGACTTTAAACAATAACGTCACTAAAGCATCTTCTGTCTTACGTTTCCCGGCGACTACAGCCACAAATGTAGAGTTGGGAAACACTTTGCAAATGTATTTATGGACAGACTCCTGAATATCAGCCATAGATGTGTGTTGTAATGTTGTGTGACATCAATCACTGTGTCCTGAACACGCCACACATCCAATCATTCTAAACTGTAAACATGCATCACAGGATCAAAAGCACTTTGTTTTGGCACTTTTCAATATTGTTCATAATAAAAGATAAAACACACACATACACGACTAGAAGTGACTTGATTTTAGAAAAGCAGCGGTGTTCTGAGAAGCACCAGGAGAAAAAAGGTTGTGAACCACTGCTCTACTACACAGTCCCTCTGTACTAACTGTGTGACTGTGTCCACAGGCTGCCAGGGTCATGGAGGTGCAGAAGGCCCAGGACCTGCACATGGCTCGGGTCACTCGTCAGGCCGATCACCTGCTGTCTCGACAACAGGCTCGAGCCAACGCAGTGATGACCAGGAGTTAGAGATCTGTAGACAGCTGCGTCTCAGAGCAGTCCAGATCCTCCCCATGGACACCTTCCTTCACCCCTCCACCATCACCAACATCAAGGTAAGAACATGGCTAACCTACTACTATTGTCTGCTATAGAAACAACAATCACTTTGAATGTTTTACCTCCACAAACGCAGTGATGGGTACGGCAGCTGCTGTTCTGACGAGCTGAGATCGTCACCATGGACTCCTCACGGCATTCCCAGTCCATCAGAGAGTCTCAGTGTAGACAGCCTGAGGGGACTACTGTCCCGGAGCCCAAGTCCTCCACCAGCTCCCCACTGCACTGTCTCAGACAGCCTCAGACCCGACAGCCACACCCCAGAGGAGCTGAGGGGACTGCCGCCCTGGACCCCAAGTCCTCCACCTGCTCCCAGAAGGCGTCTCCCTCAAGGGAATGGATCCTACATTCCCAGACTCATGGCAAACAGAGACGGTTAGTTACAACTATTTTGGATGATTCACGACACAGACACAGACACAGTCCTACAGACACAGTCCTACAGACACAGTCCTACAGACACAGACACAGTCCTACAGACACAGACACAGTCCCACAGACACAGTCCTACAGACACAGACCTAGAGACACAGACCTACAGACACAGACACAGTCCTACAGACACAGACACAGTCCTACAGACAAAGACACAGACACAGACCTACAGACACAGACACAGTCCTACAGACACAGACACAGTCCTACAGACTCCATAATTCCATATTGTCTACTGATGTTTTAATCTTAACTCTGACATATTTTTTGTGACCAAATGTTACCAAAGTCTATTTTCTTGAATTAATTTTGTCATCACATGTTTTTGTTGCTCTCACAGTGAAACTTTTGGCAAACGGGCAGAAAGTGTTCACGCCCAAGAAACAGGTGGATGAACTGAAGGAAGAATTCCAGTGGATTCTGAGACGCAGCAGTCACCGGACAGTCACATGTAAGTTGGTCTGTTACTTTTGTTTCTCTTGTAAAGAACATATATGACTGTAATAACATGTGTCTGTCTCCACAGGCAGGAGAGCGCTCCACCACATGTTGGATCAGGTTCTGGAACACCTGATGCAGACTGTCCGGAGGATGCAAAGCTCCCGCCACCACCAGAGCATTGCTCCTGCCCCAATCCGTCCCACGGTGTTTGTCCCACGGCCCCCGACCACACCGGCCCCAAAGTCCCGCCGCCGAATCCGCACAACTCCCGTCCACAGAGGAGTTCCGTTGACATCCACCATCCAGGTCCACGGAACACCTCCAAAGTTCTAGGATTCTGACACGGCATGGGACGGGACAGGAGACTTCAGGACAAGTTTGAGTTAGAGTTAAGAGTTAGATGTTAGACTTTGTTAATATGTTTTGGTTACAGAGCTGCGAGCGTCTTCAGAACTGTCACCTGCCTTGGTCACGTGTCACTCATCAGCTGATGTTACTTCCTGAGTGGGCGGGGTCAGCCTGATTGACTGACAGGTCACTCTGACAGACCGCGCCCCCTCTCGCCCTGTGGTCTCTGGAGGAGGGTGTCCCATGTGTGCGACAGGAGGAAGGCTCCCTCATCTCAGTTGGTGCTGTTGATCCAGGGTTTGACCCTCGTCCCAATTCATGATGTGGTTAATTCTCCTGCAGAGATCTGAAACGGCGCCCTCTGGTGTGTGGGAATGTGACTGTGCTTCTGTGCTCCTGCTGCCCTCTGGTGGTCGGTTTTCTCTTGTGTTTTTGCGCTTTATCTTTCACCTGTCTCCCTTTTTCTACGGCCCAGTTCGGGGACTGACAGCTTAAAGATTGTCGGGAGCCGAAATGACAGCTAAAAGAGTGTCATTGGGCCAATGAGAAAAGGGAGATGTGAAAGATGAAGCACAAAGACACAAGAGAAGCACAGAAGCACAGTCACATTCCCACACACCAGAGGGCGCCGTTTCAGATCTCTGCAGGAGAATTAACCACATCATGGATTGGGACGAGGGTCAAACCCTGGATCAACAGCACCAACCGATATGAGGGAGCCCTCCTCCTGTCGCACACATTGGACACCCTCCTCCAGAGACCACCGGGCGAGAGGGGGCGTGGTCAGTCAGAACAAGCTGTCAGTCAATCCGGCTGACCACGCCCACTCAGGAAGTAACATCAGCTGATGAGTGACCCGTGACCAAGGCGGGTGACAGTTCTGAAGACGCTCGAGGCTCTGCTCTCGAAACTTGTTACGAATAAAAACATCTAAACTTCTGTAAAAACTAACTCATTACAACTGGCAGAGTGGCTGAGTGGTTAACTGCTCATTAAGAAGGTCCTGGGTTCACATGTACAATAGGTCTGGCATGTGCCTCCTGTTGTTTACCCCGCTCCCATCTCTGTGATGGCAATAAAAAATATATAAACAAATATTTGCAATGTATTTTCTTTGACACGTGTAGATTCCAGGGACTAACAAATGCTGCTTTTCCACAGTCACTGTACGGCACGGCACAGCCGTGTGCGGGTGCTTTTCTTTAGAAAATAGTACCTCTTCAGTGTGGGAGGAGTTGTCAGTCATTTACACACTACGTGTAACCAGTGACATTGGTGCGGTGCATGGATTTATTATAATATCGGTGATAGCTGTTGTTACCTCTGAGGGGACTTTTCTCACCCCCTGCAGAGCTGGCTCCTAAAACCTTTTCAGGACACAGAGTGACAGACCAACAGCAAGTATTTAATAGAATATTCAGCACAGTCCGAGTGGTTGTTGAAAAGGCTTCGGTCGTAAAGGACTCGAACACTGAACATGTGAAGTCAATGGTGCTGACTGTGCTCTGTACAATCTGTGAAAACCATGAAGAGACCATGTGACACCAGTAGCAACAGCAGCCTGTGTAGCACTGGTGCAGAGGAGGGTCTCATGTGTAACTTATTTGCCTAAACATATATTTTGCCCTTGTGTTTTGACTAGGGCTGTCAAATGATTAAAATGTTTAATCAAGTTAATAACATCTTAACAATTAATTAATTGATTATTAATCGTGAATCATGAATGGGGGGCGACAGTAGCTCATCAGTTGGTAGAGCATTGGCCTTTGAGCCTGAAGGTCGTGGGTTCGAGCCCGCCATAAGACCTTCTTTGGGCAAGACACTTAACCCCACTTTGCCTGAAGCCCCCGCTGAAAGATCTCAGCTCCTGTGGACTCAGCACCTGCAGGAGGATCAGTGAGGGGCTGGTGCTGAGCGTACTTGGTGCAGCCACCCCCCCAACCCAGAAATGGATTAAGGGGAAGAAGATGGATGGATAGATGTTTGAAAAGAGGGCCACTTTAGTCCAGGGGCCGACGTCACAGACTGAAAAATCGGGCTGTTCTGAGCTTTAAAATGATCTATAACAGAGCTGAAGTTGGCTGAATGACACATGTTGACCATCTCACCAGCTACATTAGCATCATTAACAGAAGTTAAAAACCACGTCAGTACAGTTTCAGACGTACTGGGCTTTAGAACGAGGTACAACATGTCTATGAAGTTGGATGGATGACACAGTGAACTTGTGTTAATGATCTCAAAGACTACTTTGGGTTAGCAAGACAGAGATAAAATGACACTGAGGGCCGCGATTGTCCCCGGGCCTGAGTTTGGACATGTCTGAAAGATATACAGTGTAAATGTCAACCTGATGTTAAAAACGAGTCCTCTCCGTTGGGAAACTAAAGTTCTGTACTAACATTTCATTCATTACCAAAGTCAATCCCAGAAAGACAAAGCTGAGACATCTCTGTATTCCTTTACATATGTCACCGGCGTCTTCCTCACGGAGCAGAGAGAGTTCACTGTTTGCCTCATGGATCTGCATCTCCATCCAACAAGCTGCCGGCGGCTGGAAGAGCAGCCTGTTTGTACAAGATTGATTAAGACATTTCTGTTTCCAACGCAAATTTATGAAGTGAGTAGGTCCACATCACGGCAGCCTCATGAAGGGTTGATGAAGAGTTGGAGCAGGACTAAAGCAAGTGTCCAAAAATCCTGTTTGAAGGTTTCTTTGATGTGATGAAGAGGAAAGAGTTGGACGTGATGTCTCTGAGGTAAACGGGATCTCAGAATCAGAATCAGAATCAGAATCAGAATCATTTTTATTGCCAACGTAAGTAACGGGAGGTCACAGACTTGGAAATTGCTTTGGCTCAGTGCAACAGTCAAAAAGAGATAATAAAAATAAGAATAAAAAACACTTCTAAAGAATAAATTTAAATTTAAAATAGAGTTACAGTTACTATTTACAATATACAAGTGCACATGGTGCACACAATGTAAGGTGACAGCAGTACAGTGAAGTAAAGTGACGTATGATGGGCAGTAAAGTGACTTTATAAAGGGCGGGGGGACAGGTTAAGAAGTGTTCAAGAGTCCAACAGCAGAGGGGAAGAAACTGTTCTTGTGGCGGGAGGTTCTAGTCCTGATGGACCGCAGCCTCCTGCCTGAGGGGAGTGGTTGGAATAGTCCATGTGCAGGGTGAGAGGGGTCGGCTGTGATACGACCAGCCCGGCCTCGAGCTCGGGCGACGTACAGGTCCTGCAGCGATGGAAGGACCTGGATCTGTTTGCTTCTGTGTGATTAAAGGAACGCTTGGATTTGGGAAAGAATCGACAGTGGTTCAGTTCATTCACACTGCACCTCCGTCCACTTTCTTCTGCTTTATCTGTGGCTGGGTTGCAGAGGCAGCTCTCTCCACACACACAGGACCGTGACTTTTGTTTTCTTATCTGAGGAAGACTCCACACCAGCAGTCAAACTGTCAGGTAAGCTCTGGTCTCTGTCTGGTCTCTCTCTCTTGTCTCTCTCTGGTTTCCCTCTGGTCTCTCTCTCTGGTCTCTCTCTCTGGTCTCTCTCTGGCCTCTCTCTGGTCTCTCTCTGGTCTCTCTCTGGTCTCTCTCTGGTCTCTCTCTGATTTCTCTCTGGTCTCTCTCTCTGGTCTCTCTCTGGTCTCTCTCTGGTCTCTCTCTGGTCTCTCTGGCCTATCTCTGGTCTCTGTCTGGTCTCTCTCTGGTCTCTGTCTGGTCTCTGTCTCTGGTCTCTGTCTCTGGTCTCTGTCTGGTCTTTCTCTGGCCTATCTCTGGTCTCTCTGGCCTATCTCTGGTCTCTCTCTGGTCTCTCTCTGGTCTCTCTCTGATCTCTCTCTGGTCTCTGTCTCTGGTCTCTGTCTGGTCTTTCTCTGGCCTCTCTCGGGTCTCTCTCTGGTCTTTCTCTGGCCTATCTCTGGTCTCTCTCTGGTCTCATTCTGGTCTCTCTCTGGTCTCTCTCTGGTCTCTCTCTGGTCTCTCTCTGGTCTCTCTCTGGTCTCTCTCTGGTCTCTCTCTGTCTCTCTCTGGTCTCTCTCTGGTCTCTCTCCGGTCTCTCTCTGGTCTCTCTCTGGTCTCTCTTGCTTCTCTGGTCCCTCACTTGTATCTCTCTGGTCTCTCTCTCTGATTTCTCTCACTCAGAAGTCATGAGTGTGTTAAAACATGCTGCTGAGAGGACCTTATCACAGGTTATTTTGAGAACACATCACCCCCGCGATAAAAATGTTATTTTTGATTGGGACAGAACAAGAATCATTGTTATAAATAACCAATGCCATGTTCATAGACCATATAGCCAACAGTTAATTCTCAGACCTGGTCCTAAGACATAAAATACATCATATTTACAGATCAACAGAAAAACACAGATTACACATTACACAATATTCACAATGGATTATTCGAGTCTTGCACTGCTCACAAGTTTGGTTTCTTGTTTAACTTTAATGACAAGGAAAAACATTCAGTTTATTTGTGTATAGCCTTATGTAGGGTGAGAAAATGTCGATATCACACATAACTTAAGTTATGTACCTGATATCGGAGAATTGGATAAAAACAACCATGTAATAAATACAATAATTGATAATAGCTTTATTTAGGGGCACCAGGGAATAACTCCCAACTGTTAACGTGCATATGACGTAACAATATCAATTAATTGGCTCATTTATTGATTAAGTAATCTCATGAGTCCTTTTATTATTTAATTAGCTAATTAGTCCAATTCTCTTGCATAGAATCTGAAGGTAGTGAATTCTTTTACAAATCAGTGACCCAATTTCTGGAGTTAAAAGTACAAATATCACTTTCAGACAAAGATGGTTTTGTAGATTTAATGAAGTATACACAATACAGACTAGATATGAAATATGCAAATTGTCAAGAATAACATGAAGGAAACGTTGATTTCAAGATACATTGTTAAAATGCTAGGCTAAGGTGAGCTTAGCAAGGCCTTTGCCTATGAAT